TAACTTAAAATTTAAACATTATATCTAAATCCTATTTTAACCTTAAACTATACTTTAATCTTTATATAAATATAAGTACTTAGCAAGAGTACTTGCTAAGTATTTTGACAAATTTCATGATGAAATTCTGATAGAAATCACGACTGTTTACCCAATATAAACTAACTCAACCACATGTACAGTACTACAGCTAGTAAGTTTTGTAAAAAATTTTTTACAGTAAATCACGAAAAAATCACGACTGTTAATTCCAATATAAACTAACTCAACCATGTGTCACTACATTTAATAAGTTTTGTAGAAAATTTTTTTTTAAAGTAAATCATGATAGGATCACGACTGTTAATTCCAATACAAACTAACATCAAACATTACGTGTTATCATGATACAACTCACTCTCGTTATAGTGAACTCTCGCTATAGTGAAGATTCGATATAGTGAAGAATTTTTGAATCCGGAATTATTAAATTTCAACTCGATATAGTGAAGTACATTTAGTATTCTCTAGATATAAGCTATAGTGAAGATTTTTTTTTCAGCTCGGGAGACTTCACTATAACGAGAGTAAGTTGTAGTCCGTACTATCGTTGTTAGACGAAACCATGTGATACTAAATGTCACATATTAGCCTTAATAAAAATTAGGTTAAATTTTTAAGTCTTGATATTTTGTGACAGGTGATATTTAGCATCACATGGTTTCGTCTAACAACTATAGTCCGTACGTTTGTAAAAAAAAATTTTTCGATAAATCATGATAGAAATCACGACTGTTAATTCCAATACAAACTAATTCAACCTTAACCTCACACTGTGCTCCGCAATAGAAAGTAAAGTTTTATAACATAATTTTTTACAATAAATTAATTTTATGTTAACCCATGATAGACAGTATATATTAGTTATTTTTAGATCGTAGCACTTAATTATTATTTTGTATTTATTATTAAGATTCAAAAAAGAATTTCATAATTGGACAAGTGACAACCACGACATTGATCAATTAATTTAACAAACACAAATTAAGGCAAAGAAGTTTAAAGATATTATTGAATGGATACTTTTTAATAAATTTGCAAACATTAAGTATCTTGCTAAAGGAGGTTTTGGCACAGTTTTTAAAGCAGTATGATTGGAATAAAATGAATGGGAGAGAAATCCGCAAAGAATGGTTTGTTTAAAAAAGTCTTGCCAATTTTAAAGAAATAAAACAAGAATTTTTAAAAGTAAGCGTTATAAACGTAATTATTATTATTTTAGGAGTGATAATATTATTTATCTTAATTTAATCTTTTAGATTGAAAATCAACATAAACTTGGTGGCAATTTCGCAATTGCGATTTATGGAATAACTAAACACCCAAAAGATGGTAATTACATGGTAGTTTATGGAGTATGTAAAGCAAGAAGTCTCCAAAAATTATTAGATAGTAAATATAATGAATTAGGTTGGGCATAAAGACTTTCATCCCGGAAATACGTATAGTTAATCAAAATAAGATATCACTGACTGTGGTTTATGTAAGCCAGTGTCACGTGATTCAAATCCAAAAAAAAACTTTTTCCTTAGATTGCACCAGAAGTATTATATGCAAATGGAAAATACACTCAAAAATCAGATATTTATTCTTTCGGAATAATTATGTCAGAAGTTTTACTGGATATCCAGATGATCAACTAGTACTATCTATTTGTTAAAAATCGAATGTGAAGTTCCTCAACTACTTTTGAATTTAATGAAAAATGTTTAGATGCTGACCTCATAGCAGACCAACTGCTGAAGAATTGTCTAAAAAGCTGTACTAATTTTTTTATGATTTAAGAAATGAAGAAGCCGAATTATATAAACAAGTTAAAGTAATTGAAGACTCTGGAAAAAATTCCTCAACATATAATCAACTCAGCAAGAATCAATTATCAGACACACCCGCAGGCTATTTACACAAGTCGGCTTTTGAAATTTCAAAAACTCCCTAAACCAGTAAATAAACCGGTAAATCTAGGTAAGAATAATTTCTCTCAAAACAGTGACTCACGATGTGTAATGGATATTTAAGAATCAAATTGATTATGACTTTTTTATCACTTATCTCTTGGGAGATCGATTTAATTAGTCTTATCGAGAGGCTCAATGTATTTATAAAGTTAAACTAAATAATTCTTAAACATTTTCTAGTAACCGAATTTTGACGATTAGTGTAGTGTGAACTTTTTTGACTTTGAGCAATATTTATGGCGGGTACAAAATTAAGCCTTCGAGTAAATATTATCACTATATTAAATTTATTATTTGTCGTTTATTGATTCCCGTCAGATTCGAATCAACATATCTATATATAATTTTCACCGATCAATGAATGACTACGTCAATTATTGATGCTATAAAGTACAGAAGTACATATAAAATCTGGGACAGGTTACGTTAAGCTCCGATCTCAGAATTAATCATAATAAAAAAAATTATAGTTACATTAATATAAATTCTTTATTATTATAAAAATAACTTTTCTGAAAATTTCAAATTGTTTTCGCGTCCTTGTTAAAAATAAATATATATATTTTGTTTACATATAATTCTGTAGCAAAAATAAAGTTGAAACATTTATAAAAGATACGATAGAAAATCCATAAAAACTACGTTGGAAAATTTTATAAGCAATTATAGAAAAGCTCACATCACAATATACCAGCATGAGCTTTACAATTCTTATAAAAAAGAAATTGACGTAAGATAAAAAAAAAAAGATTATTACAAACATGAAAAGAATTACAAGTCTGTAAAAAGAACGGATGGCTATTAAAAATCTATAATTATCGCGTAATGTTAAAATTAGTTCTATTTCCTTTTAAGTTATATTTCCGCATTTTAAAGTAAATGGCTTTTTTATATTTTGTACAATGTAAAAATTTAAACCGTTATTTCAATATATATATACTTAAATATACATTAATATTATCGTTATTAGCAATCAGGATATTGAGTTTGATTTTCTATGTGCAGCTATAAAATTATATCAATAAAGCAGATTCATATAAACCGAAAAAAAGCGGTTACTATTTACTCTAAGCATCTTCTGAAATTTTGGTTTTATTAATAATCATGATAATATAAATCTTCATCTCTCTGGCTCATGAATCTTCAGAAACATATACCGTATAAAGTGCGAAATTGAATAATGGTCCGAATTAAGCTTAATTTAGGCAAAAAATTCGAAATTACAACCCTGCGCGTTATTTCGCGCTTATACGGTATTAGTCAAGAAATAAATAAATACAGTAGGAGAAAATTTGACAAATCGGTTGCTATTCTAAAAATCAAAAATCATTAATTTATCTATAAAAATAGCGAACTTAAATAAAATAAGCATTAAAACTTTGTGAACTTGTAAAATATCCATATCCTAATATCAATAAGGTAAAATGGATAAAATAATTGCCCTGTAAAAGAATTCGCTTTTGTGAAGCGAACGGATGTTAAAGAAACCATATACTCCTAGCTTAATCTTCAATGCAAATTTCGTGTCAAATAGATTAATTTTGTTTATTAATTGGTTATTAATTTATTAATTTATTAAATTAGGTTTTACATATACTGTAATATTGGTTTAATATACGAAACGAATGATTTAACACCTAAAAAAATGATGAATGTTACAAAATGACAAATTGCTACATTAAAATCGTGCTTAGTTCCCAAAAAGGGAGTGGCGTTAAATAACGCCCCCGATGATTGAATCCTAAAGGATGAAAACTTACCAAATGAGTAAGGGTATTGTATTATTTCCTGTTACAGCTTTTCCTTCACAGTACGTTGGGGATATTTCATCATGGTGATTTGCTATTTCCGCCATAGGTATGTAGATCACAGAATTGAGCAGATTTTATGTTAGTCATTCCATGGTGGAAATATAGTACGGTACGTAGTAATTCCCTTTAAAATTTGCTATTTTCCAAAATGTGGAAAGATGTAGAACATAATGATTCGGGGTTTTTTAAAGCCTTGCCCAATCGGATCTGCGAGTATATTTTCCTGAAAATACCTATACAATAAAATGCATATTGCATTTTTAAAAAAGCCTTTTCTACAAAAAAAAAAAGAAGATTCTGCAGAGCAATAGAGCAAAATTTTTAAACTTGAAATTTAAAACTCTTATATATTGTAAGTGGAATTTATATATAAAAAAAAACCATTTCGGGGTTGATTTTATCATATGTACATCCTAACCCTAACCCTAATTTAACTAGGAAATTATTTACGACATATATAAAAGCGATAATCTTCATTACTCAAAAGAACCTATAATTTAAACTAAAGAATTTTTTTTAGATTATCGATTGTTACACAAAAAGTTTACATTCACGTTCCTTGTACGTCGAATACCCCAACAGTACGCCCATGGTTGATGAATTCTATTTATTTCTTCTCTAGATGCTGTAACATAATCTTTTATCAAATATTTAGGGCCATATTGTATTCCCTGTCTTATTTCTTCTGCATTCGTTCAAACATTAAAGAAATAAGTGTATTTTCTTTTTTTTTATAAAGATATTAACAACTTTTTAACGTGTATGTACAGTAAATCATTTCGATCTTTTTCATTGTCTTGATTCTTTATCGTCCTTTATTACCATATTGGCTTTTAAGTTCTATTGCAAAATTGAACTAAAGTATCAACACTTATATGATCTTCGATAACTATTAAACTAAATTCAGATATTAGTGTGTCGCTCTCCCGAAGATAGTAACACTAGTATTTTAAAGATACAGAAATTTCAAGATTTTACGATGAAATAGATAGAAATCATCGAAAAGTTGGTATGAGGCTGTGTTATATTTTAGAATCGTGATTTAATTGGTAAACAAAAACAATAAAAAATAAACATTTGCCACGATTTTGTTTTCTATAGATTAAAAAATACATAAAAAACACATTGAAAAGAATTTTAATTTTTTTCATAAATCACATAAAAATAACGAAAAATTTTTTATTACTTTAAAATGACAAATACTTCAAGTACTTCCGATATACCATTTACCGATACACAAGTAATCTACTTTGTAATTTTTCAAGGTATATTTACAGCCTTGACGATCTTCTATTTCTTGCAAGCTCAAGGACAATATTTTAGAAAGAGTAAAAGTACGTCACATGGAAGTGCATATGAAAAATATACACTCGAGAAAGAATTAATTAAAGAAGCTGAACAGAGAAAAAAAAACTTGAAAAGAAGTTAATGAAAAGTTAGAAACCGTCAAATATGATATACACGTAATCGGGTTAATATATATATTTTTTAAATCGAACACTTTTTTTTGATTAGCATTAATAAATAACACTGAAATTTATGATTCATTAAATGCCACGGCTAAAGCTGGATTTTTTTTTTTTTGGTTAGTGGGTTAGGTTAGGATTTAGAGTTAGTTTTATAATAAAAGAGTATAATTGAGTTTTGGCAGAATTTATATTTTTAAATTGGGACCAGAATTGAAGTTGTCGTATATACATACATAATATAGATCTATGCCATTTTTATGTTGCTCTATCATGATTTTTTAAGATGTGTAAAGAATTTTTTGACAATATTCGGCCTTTAAACGTTACTGCCACGAACGTGATTTTTGTTGTTATAAGCCATGCTTACGTGTTGGCAATTTATTATACATTATAGAATCACGTTTTAATCGTAATCTGTAACTTATCGGCAAGTTTATCATAAAATTTAACAGTAACGGTAAATTACCAAATTACTAGTGTTAATTTTGACCAGCATTAAACCTAAAAGGGCCCAGGGAAAGAAAATTTTATAAATTATAACTTACAACCCTGACGGAATATACATGCATAATGCAAATTTAAGACATTTATTTGAAATCATATTAATGCAAATTTAAGAGACATAAACCAATGTTAAAGATTTACATTTAAATTGCTACCTAAAGCTAATTATTACAAAGCGTTGCTCTAAAATTTTCAATATTATGACATAAAAAAAATCCATGTTGTTACAAATATCTCAAACACTATATATTAAATATACAGTTTTATTATTTAACACGCATCAAACCATTCTCATCTATCTTTTATAGACCAAGTATTATATCAATTAATCTAGAATATTTTAAGAATGCACGATTTTTACGTACGATATTTTATTGTATTCAAAATTAAGGTAATTATCTACGCTTAATACAGTAAGTTGAATATATATTATATATATATATATATATATATGTTACCTTCATTGAAAAAGTATGGCTTATATAAATTACATATTATAAAAACCATGATAGACAACTCACAGCATTAACGCATCAACATCATTGGTGCACCATTACGAATTATTGAATCATCGCGTTTACGCATCGCAGGTAAGTCAATTTGATCACTTTTAATAGTAAAAAGTGCAAAGCATATCAGTAACGATAGTTGTATAAAAATGTATTTATTCATATTTTTGTGTTTTTTATAGATGCTTCTTTATATATGTTGTATTAAATATTCTAAATCTTTTGCGGTTTCTTTTTTTTTCAGAGTTTGCAGCTTTTATAATTCACATATTTATAATTCACATAAGGTATAGTGGCTTTCAAATTGTTTTTATTTGACATGCCACTTTTTGTTTTTCTAAAATATTACGTATGAAAATTTTATGATGCCAACATTTCTTTTCATGTCAAAATCAAGAAATTGCCTAACATATATCACTGAGCCACAACAATATCAGATACGTATCAGTGAGAATAATTGATAAAGATGTACTTTGTTGATATTCGTTATACACATAACGATAATATGTAAATACATCATGCACTAATTTCTAAAAGACATAAAATACAGTATATAAAATCGATTTTAATAAACAAGAACATTGATTTTCGTTTTAAGATCAATTTTAATTTACAAAGTAAAAAAAATTTAAGAATGAATCGAAAGAAAACTTTTAATTCACTTACTACTTTGTATATTAAAGTCAATTCAAAATTTGACCATTTGATACAGAATGACGTATTAGCCTGTCTATGCAAGCCACGGAAGCACAAATAAAAAATTGACAGCAAAAAAACATGAAATTATTATCTATTTATAAATAATGACAGTGACATAAATGTAGTGATTTAAACTGTGCTTATTTCTTTTAATGTGGTCATTGATATTTTCTAACAAAAACGGATGCGCCTGAACTAAACCGTTTAAACTAAGCCTTTCTGAATATATCTTAGTAGAAAAGCCAGAACATATTAACATAAATATCATGCAAATCATGCAAATCATTGAAAATCTTGTAAAATAAATTTTGAATCAAAATTTTATAAACAAGATTTTTTTTTGTCTATAACGAATCCTAATTAATTAACTTATAATAATTATTATAATAAAAAATCATGAACCTTTTCAATACCTTAATTTCTTGCTTGTTAATATTCCAAGCATTATTTACTACTGTTATAATTGCTTATTTTCTTAAAATTCAAAATAAGTACCTTCGAAAATCTATTAATGAAAAAAATGATTTAAACCGAAATTATCGAAAAGAAAAGATTCAAGACGATGATATTTTAAACAAGATTTCATCAAAGTTTTTTGGTGAAAATTCTGCTACGAAAATAAAAGAATATATTGCTTTCTCAAGTGAGAAATTCGCCATTTAGTTGCAGTAATTTTTATAAATATATTCACGTTAAATAGTATTGATAATTGAAAAAAGGACTATTAAAAAAACAAACCAAAAAAAAAACATTATTACTATACCCTCCTTTTTCTAGGTTATGAAATAGTTCAATTTGTAGAATATCTCAATTTCTTCATCAAAATTTTTTTGTGTCAAAAAAAAAAAAAACTTGTTGAATTTTATACTGTAATAACCTTGTATAACTCGTTTTTTCTTTAAATAAATTACGAATACCGTTTTTACATTTCGATCGACGCGTATAAAGTAATAGTATATACTTGATATTACATATGTATAAGTGTCCCAACTAAGTTATATATAAAGTTATAAATTTTGCAGTCTACTATTATAAGAGGTTATCAAAAAACTTTTAGATAAACAAAAGTTGTATTGATGAAATTAACTTCACTTGGATTTTTTTTAAAAAAACATGACAATACAATAATACGTAAAAATTATAGACTCGATTTTAGCACATAGATTTATATTAACTCGATTTAGCGTATAGATTTATGATTTATAATTTAATATTGGTACAAGAACCCAAAGTTTTTTATCGTTATCGTTATGAAAATGTTAATCTACTGTACACAAATACATTATTCATGCATTATTCATAAATTTTTTTGCAATATAAGTAATTAACATACGTATAGCTAAATAAAAAACGAAACAACTCTATCTGCTATTACACAATGACGATTAAATAACTCGTGATTTAAATATATGTGCAGTGTAAAGAAATTTAGAAAACAAAGCTCAAGTAAGCTATACATTTTATACAATTATTTTTATAATTCAGCATGTGTGTATAATACATATGGCATCTTCGGTCTGTACGACGATTCTAGTACAATACAGTATAAAGTTTTAGTAGACATTTACGCATCATGCATAATGTTCAACATTTATTTAAAAATTGTTAAAAGTAACAGCAAAGCATTCACTATATTTAAACTGCATAGCAATTAAATATATTGTAGTACTAATTTACTTTGATTATAAAGTTCATAATATAAGATAGGGGAGAGCATTATTTAGTAGAACTATTTTTCTTCATTTAATTATCCCGGCTTGAATTTTCCAACCGGTAACGGTTAGTTATCCGGAAAACTCATAAGATCATGAAAAAATTTCTTTTTGTTATTTTTTTCATGTGTTACTAGTGTTCCGATCCTTAATCCGATCATCTGAATTGGTCCCTAAACTTAGATAAATTTAAATATCCAGATCAGAGATTTCTACTCGGATTTGTCAAAGAACTTAAATAACGGACATAAGGTTGTTCTCAAAGCTAGCTTTATTTCTAATCTGATACGGATTCAATCCGGATTTAATAGAATCCGGATGGCCTGTCAAAGATAGGATCGGAACACTATGTGTTACCATATAATTATGTTTATTATTCAAAATTAAAACTCAGCGAGCGACTCCCTACCAATCATGATCAGATAACACCAATATTGAATACGGTAATTTGACAAATGATTGGCTACACGTGCCGCTTTGCGGTACGTGTTCATTTGCCAAATTACCGTTATTCGACAATTTTTGCCCAATATTGTATACATAAGAAGCTCAACATTGCCTTTATTGGTTTGTGCTAATATCATATTACGTATTATGAGATTGTTAACGTTCATATTATTATGAGGTTGTGTTAACGTTCATACGTATTAATATTAATACGTATGAGATTAACCTTCATATTAACGTTAATATGTATGAGATTAACCTTCATATTAATATGAGATTGTGTGTTAACCTTCATATTAATATGAAAATGTGTTAACCTTCTATTTATATAAGATTGTGTTAACCTTCATTTTAATATAAAATAAATTAATGACGTTAATAGAGATCAACTGGGTATTTATTTGAATGTTAAATTGCTTTTATGACATTCTTGTTAGTCCCAAGATAAATTTAGACATTCTTGTTAGTCCCAAGATAAATTTAGACATTCTTGTTAGTCCCAAGACAGATTTAGACATCCATTTCAAAATAAGAACGTAACTAACTTATATTTACCCATGGCTTTGCTACGGAGACAAAACATGTAATTCTAACTATAACAACACTCGCACAAATAAGTAAACCCACCTTGGAGCATTAACAAAAAATGTCGGGAAGGTAATTTTACCTATAGACACTAACTCAAGGTGGGCCATAACCCTAAAGTTAATGAAAAACGTAATCTCACGTGATCTGCCCGCTTTAAGGAACTACCCAGCGAAAAGTCTACGGACAGTGCTTAGGGACAGCGCAGTCATGTGATATTAGAAAATCAAAATTTTCAAATCTTTAGCCCAAAATATCTTGGTACAACCGACCAAATTCAGCCAAAAAATTTTTTATTGAATTCTATAAATTTATAGAATACAAATAAACAAAAATTCATCGAATTTGGTAAGGTTGATATGGAGATATCTTCACTCAAAGTTAGGGAGAATTCAAAACTCCTATCAAAATAGAAGCTATTTTAAAAACATTGAGCGAAGATATCTCCACAACTATCTAACCAAATTCGATAAAAATTTTTTTATTTGAATTATATGGATTCATAAAAAAAATTTTGTCGAATTTGGTTAGACAGCTG